ACGTCTGTATTCGCGTGGAATTGCGCGATCAGAATAACTTGAGAGGGAATTTCCCTTAGCTTTTTGAGACAATTTCGTGAAATACGCGAAACGATTTAAATGGACCACTTGCCAAAATCCGACGAAGTTTACAATTATAGTTGAAACGATTGGTACTTTGCTTTTATAATAATCTGTGTGAATCTTAGATTAATGAATTGACCGAACTCGAAAACCATCGTACATATTAAAATTTTCGTTATTTGTATAACTTAATAACTTACTATGTTAACAATTTTGAATAACAGGAGATAAGATACACAGATAAGAACGAACAGTCACATCAGTCAGGCGTATATGAGTTACATACATATAATTTTGTAGATTAAAATTTATTTGATCGAAGCATTTTTGAAACTTTCGACGTTGTTCTAACCGCAGCGGGGAAAGGTCGAAGCTATTCTCTGTTCTCGTGTTGCGGAAGAATCAATCGAGAATTCGTGAGACTCCGCAGTCACACACATACACACATACACAGGTCACTCGCGACACGCGTGATTCGTGCACGAAGAACCAGGAAGCCAGAGTCCCGGTGTACCAGTCCGATATCGTGATACGAATGCGTCCGAACTCGTGTTCGCCGTACTATTTTGTGCCTTGCCAGTGACTTTCTGGCGTGACTCGTAAAAAACCTTTCTCCCTTCTTACGAGGGTTGCTCCCTTCTCTCATCGTAACATCACGCGAGAAACTTTCAGTCCCAGCCAGAAACCGCCTCTTTCGTGTGACTTGTACCGTTCTTAAGATCACTGTGCTTCCACAGCGGAATATTCGTGGAATAGCAACCGTCTTATAGCAACTGACGTTCACGTCCAATTTTAGGAAAATTGCTAGTCGACATCGCTCGTATTTAATACTTTTAGAATTTTTTTTTTACGAGCTTCTATATATCAAAAGTCGTGTCGTTTAAATTTACGTGCAGGTGAATAAAAATATATACCAGTAACGTTAAAATACACAATATTACGTGAATTGCATCTCGTGCAAGAAATTGCAGTGTAAGTTAGTATACAATTTTGTATGCGTGTTTTATTTTTATATTAAATGCTCGATGGAAGTTTATTTAGGTTGTACACGAGAATATTGCAACGTAGGTGCAATTCTGTATTTAGTACGATTGATTTTTCAGAATGCAGATACACACGTTGCCATTGACTCTCAAATACAATTCTGTCGGGATCTAGATGACCACGAAGATTACAAGTTAGATTAAATTCAGAATTTATTTAAATTTTATTTTACGTCTTGCGACCAAAAAATTTTCGTTCAATTAATTTCATTTCAATTTAAAATAACGGTTTTAAACTTCGAAATAAAGAGTTGTATTAATCCCAAGTGACTCCGGCGATGTTAGTTAAGAGTTGAAACAAGAAAATAAAGACGAACGGGGAAACGGATGAACAGTCTCTTGCTCGGTGTTCGCTTCTTGTCTTGTCTGACATCAGTCGTCTGTAACTACTGCGCGGAAAGCGCGCGTACCGCCGTAATTCTTCGCCGGCTGGAACACAAGACTCCCGGACGTACCTAATCTGTCCCGCGGAGACGTTTGTACGAGAATTAAAGTTTCCTTTTAGAAAACCTCCCGTCGATTATTCTTTTCAGGACGGTGGTTTGATGCAGCCGGCAACGGTAAACTTTTATCACGCTCTCATTGTACGAATATCTTTGAAACGGACCGCCGGCCAGAGCATATACATTTCCCCGTTCATTTTCTTGAAAGATTCTTCGCCGTTGCTCGCGTTCCGCCCGAACTTCTTCCCCTTTCATTCGTCGAGGAAATGCTTCTTACCGCGAGCGAGGAGTTTCTCGCTCGTTACGCCCTTGTCCCTCGGTGCATTAACATAATGCACATCGGCGAAATGTTAAAACGTCGCCGTGGTTCGTTTGCTTCCTTTTATACGGCTGTTGCCAAGCGTGAAACCTTTTTACGCGTGCGTTTCGATCGTTCGTTTGTATTTCTTTTTTTTTTTTTTNTTTTTTTTCTTTGCTCCTGCTGCGATACGAAACTCGATTGTTTCGCGAAAGGGTGCGAAAGAACGCGAAGCCTCGAATGGTTTTCCGTTTGGAAAAAGATTTAGAAAGAGAGAACAATGAACGTTCGAAGGTTTTTCTCTGGATACTACGACGATACTGTGAGGGATTCTGTGTAGAATCTTGTGTGTAGAATGTTGGGAGACATTAGGTTGCTGCGAGGATGAAATTTATGTATTTCATTTTCTCTTTTTATTGCAATTTCTCCAGTTGGTGTATTTTTCTCTAACTTTTTCACCTGGTTCTGATTATCTTTACCTGGTCTTTTGAGCTAGCTTTCAATATTATTAATATTATGGGTAACGTTTAGTTAGCTCAAATATGCGTTGGAATTTAATATTGATTCGCTACAAAACTCGTTAAACAATTACGTTGGTATAATTTCAAATTGACAACTAATACATACAGTGATTTTACTCATTGAATTCTAAACAATTTTTCGTGCAAAATATAAAACAACGTAACATCCAATTTCACATATGTAGTTACATTTTCAATGTATAATATAATATTTCCAGTGTATAATATAATTTTCATCTTTATATTCGCGGGAAGATTGAGAAACGCTGTGAGAGTAAAAATTGACTGTTTCTCGTCCGGATGAATGTTCAGTACACTTTTTTCTTCACGTGTAAAATATAAACGGAGGGGGAAAGAAACTGAAGGAAAGGCTCGAGTCTCTCGTACGATGGAACATGCAGGTGCTCGACGAAGCTTCGCGAGCATTGAATGAGATTTCTAGCTCCTCTATCGCCTGATAAGAGATAAAACGGCTCGATATTCGATCGGAGGGAGGTTCTGAACGAATCCGGGAGTGTTGGTGCCATAGCATAGGCATAGGCGCGATCGAATCGCAAATGGCGCCTTGAGCTCGTGCCTTGAGCAGCCAGCAGCTTTGAAATAAGCTGACTGGAGAGGAAAGGGGGTAACGTAGCTAGCGTAACGTAGATAACGCGTCTCCCGCTATTTTATTCCGAGAGAATTCCATTGTTGCGCGAAGGAATATCGAATGGAAACGACGCGCTCTATCTACTAGAAACTGTTAAATACCGCGCGACACAATGGTCGCATTGTTCGTGACCCATTGCTGCGGACGATGCTTTTAATTAAAGTTCTCGCGTCCCCCTCCCCCGTTTTTTGTTGTTTTTTTTTTCTATTTACAGCTTTCAAAAGTGTTACGGACGCTGCATCCCCGATTATTGATTCGTGCACGCACGCCGGATACAGTTTTTTCGTGCAACACCAACGACCATCGATGCGAAGCATTCTCGATAAAATACCATTTCGTATTGTATCGCGTTATCGGTTACACGTACATGTTTCTCTGTTCGACAGAAGATTGCATATTGAAATTCTTTCCAAATTTGGCTACGATGCCAATGAAATCACAGAATGCTTCGCGCAATTACAGAAAAAAAAATATATTCGTGAAAATTCTCTGTTGCAAATACGTTTCAGACGCTTGGACACGGAGCCATTGCAGTATTGTCCTGCGTTATCGATCAGTTGCACTCATCTACTTGACGAAAGATCCTCTCTTGTTGTTCGGGGTTGTTATCGGACAGACGACGAACGACGAAGCTATTCGATAGTCAATGCTAATTCACGGGCGGGAATAATTTCTGAGAAACTCGGATGAACAATGTTACTCGAACGATCGATTCTCTCGGGATAATAGCAGTTATCCCGGGCAAAACCGAGAAACTAAGTTCGGTACCGACGAACCGTTTTAGCAGTTACGAAAGCGATACGCGAGCGAGAAACGTGCTGACATACGTCCTTTGTCCGAAACGTGTCGAGTAGCGTTCAAAAATCTCGCGTAATCGAGATTGTGAAAGAAAGGGTCACCGGTGACGTCATTGACGTCACTCGCAGCCAGGCCTTGAGCGATCAATTCGTTTCGGAATGAAACGAAAGAACGGAAACATCTTGCTCCGCCCGCGACATTACACTTGGGGCGGCGTGGTCAAATTTTTGACGTCTGCTGTGCGAATATTGTCGCAGAGCAGTATTGATTTTTCTAAATTTTTCATTTATATCGTAATTTTCACACGTCGATCAGAGACTTAATTATTATTGTTGTTGAGACAACTACCGTTAACGAATGTTAATCGTATCGATTCGGTAATCGCGAGCACACGAATGTTTCTGCGATCCGCAGAGAAACCTGTCTGACGTTGAATAAATTAGCACAGCTAATGGACGTTCGAAATCCTCTTCTCTTCTAAAAAAAAATTTGTAATTACGACGTGCAATCGACACGACACATTAATGAAATCATTGCAAGAGGAAGCTCGACAATTTTACTTATCACCTGCACGACATTATAGAACGGGAGACGATAAGCTCTTTAACTCGACGATGGTTCTCTCAACGATCTCTTCCGTAACTCCAACAGAAAGGAAAAAAGAAAGATAATCTCTCGTCGTACCGACGCAAATCTACCGGAAGAGGCCGACAGACTTCGACATGGTCCTCCTCTCATGCGCTCGCAGTCTCGTCGACGTTATCGTTGGAGAAATCGAGAAGAAACGGCGAAGTGAGAGTCTCGTGAAACGTCTCGTGGAGGAGCATCGGCGGAAGGGTAGTCGCGACGCCAGGGTGAATGCAATTTTCACGAGGTGGCGGTGCAGTTCACCCCGCTGTCGTGTGACCGGCTACACGGACGCAGATCGCTAAGGGAGGAAAGAGAGCGAGGAGGCGAGAGGGACAGGGAGAAAGGCGGTCGCAGGGTAGAGAAAGGGAAAGAGAGAGACAGAGCGAGGGTGGACGAGAGTAAGGGAGGAAGCGACAGGGCGAGTGAGAGAAGACAGAGAGAGAGAGAGAGAGAGAGAGAAGAAGGAGGAGGAGGAGGAGGAGGTGGTGGAACACGTACACGGAAACACACGTACGTACACGAGGAGCGGCGCGCTCAGTAGTGTGCCAAGTGCGCCCAGTGACGTAGGTCAGTGCTCGCGACTACGCCGCTCTCGCGAGCTGCTGATTAAAACTCGCTGTTTCGGCCTCCGATCGCCGTCGCGTCGCGATGATCCCCATTGATAGTTCGCGCGTCGCGTACTGTGCGTCCTCGTCGCCTTTCGTCTTAACCCGGTCGTGGTGGTCACCTTGACACGCGCGGAGGACGAAGGTTAGGTCTGCCGGGGTTTCACCTGCAAGCTGCCGCCGCCAGCTCGTCCGAGCACGGATTTCACGAGCGTGTCACGGTGTCGAGAGGTGAACACACGACTAAACGCAAAACGTACGGAGGTTTCGCGCAGTGGAGGAGTCTACGATTTGACGACCAATCGAGAGTGATGGTCGTAGCAGCGCAGTTTGCGCAGCAGTGTCCGAGAACACGTCGTGGAACGTGTTTTGAAACGAAAGGAATCGAGGTTAAAATCGTAGGTAGGGGAAGAGGGTGGTAATAGGTGGATCCAGGGTTTGGAAATGTGCCGGTAATCGAGCCGTGCGTCCCTTGCAGTGTTTCCGTTCTAGTTTCTCGAAATATTATTTAGAGTTTGATCTAAACGAAATTATAGATAGTGAAACAATTATATCGGAGGACTAAGGATTTTGGATTTTGTTGCTTGGAAATGCAGAAATAGTCGCGATAATTGGGTCGTGTGTGCTCTCTGCGTTTTACGTCGTGTGTTTTTACTGCGGTTCTAATGCACCATCGTCGCAGTAGGTATTTAAAGAGGTTAGGGTTTGATGTAATCGAATGCAACAGTCGATACCGTGGGCTTTGTACTGGAGAGCGTGATGCATCTCTCGTGTTTGAAAGAGCTGGCTGTAACTGTGCCAAGTACAAGCAATGACGCAGGTCGTTGCTCGTGCAAGGGTCATCGCGTGAGTTACTTTATCGCCGCCCGTTACCCGCGTAATGACTCTTTTTTTTTTTTTTTTTTTTTTTTTTTTTTTTTACGCGAACTACTTAGTCGCGGGTTCGTTGAAATATCGGGGAAAGTCGACGTCGACATGGCTGTTAAAAAAAATACGAGGACGAGCCACTTACGAGTCACATTGTCCCATCGCGTGCGCGCGATGCAAGTTACGCGAACAGGGAAATGGAATTTATTGAGTTAGAAAATATGATGCGGTCGGGGACACGGGTGGCGGAGTAGCGCACCGAAATGAATCGAGTACAGCCAGTGATACAGGTCAGTGTTCGGGGCGACCATGCGTCTCTCAGCTCTTTCCCTTTCTCTCTGCCTCTCCCTTTATTTTTTAATTCCAAGCACTTATCTCTCGAAACTTTTCCAACAATTTGCCCCAACTTTTATTGAAATTACTTCGATGCAAACACTTGAAAAAAAATATATATATATATATACAGTATTATATAGACGTGCAGATGTTGAAACTTTTCGAGCGAAATAATTCGGCGTTCGATTACGCAAGTAACTGTAATCGAACTTTTGTCCTAGTTTCGCGAAGAAAAACGTGATGATATTAAACGTTCTGATATTAAAAAAGAAAAAAAAAAAAAGAAACGAAACGAACGTTCAATGGAAAGGAAACTTCAGTGGTACAATTTAGTTAAAATGATCGTAAATTTTAGTTTCACCGCGATCTAATCGTTGTTTATTACCGTTCTCATTGTTGGAGCAGATGCTGCCATTATCAGATTAATTACTCGCACATTGTCCTTGAAGTTTTAATAGTATGCAAAAGTTAGTTATATCGACGAGTCGCTGCTGCGTCAGCGTGCAACTTTCCGCGGGCTGCAGCTGTTCCATGGAAATTCAGGCGCAACGTGACGCTGTTGCAACAATGCCACTTCTTCGTGCACGCCGCGTGGTTTACACTTCTAATCCGTCTTCCTACGCGAATCGAGGCTACAACCCTGATGTACAACTAGTTTACATATCTCTGCGATGTTTGTTGAAACGAAACCGAATGATTTCGTATCGTGTCGAGCTTAAACGATCTTTGAGATAAAATATTTGCAAACACTTATTCCGATGAAATTATTTAAAACACAAACGTTCCAAATATATATATATATTTCTTTCTTTGTTCAAATTCTTCAAATCCTTCAACTTCTCATTTTTATATGATACAGTAATTCTTTTTCATAAATATCTCTTTTCTGCAAATTTTTATTAATGCAGCAAGTCAATATTACTGATTTTGAACGATTGATTTTGATTAATAGTATGAAATTCGAAATTTTTACGGATGATGATGAATTTTAAAATTGGCAACAATTAGCAAGCACTTTCATTGACGAGAATTTTGCACTTTGAATTATAAAATGGTACGAATCGTTCAGTGTTAGAAATTGTACAATTTGATAATTAATTTAATAACTGATAAAATTACTATGGATTTGTCATCCCTTTCAAGAATTCTGTAATTCCTGCAAACAGTCATTTAATGTGAAGAATTCCGTAACCAAATGTCCGAATAGAATTTTAATAGAATTCGATCATCAGAAATTCTTGGATGTATTGTTAAAACTGTTGATTCCGTGAGTACAGTGAAGCAACGTTGTGTCAACATTGGTGTTCTTTATGGCTTTCTTTAACGTTGAACGCGTTGATATGCAAATTTTCCACGTCGTGAAATACAGTTCGTCAGCGATCAGAACGTGGCTCATTACGTGCATCGCGTGCGCTGCAATTTTTATACTCGCTTAAGAAGCAGTTATCTTGACGTTTGCCATCTAATGTCGGCTTTTATTTGGTACGAGCCACAGGAAACGTTCGATTGCATAATTCATCCGTTCTATCGATTCCCACCGCGATATATAAACATAGTAGAAAGGTTTGTTTTCTTAACCGATCGGCTTGATCTACTTGCAAGAAGCAAACACAATCGATCCGGCATTCTTTTGAGATATTCCTCGTGACACAAAAAAATTCGACTTATATTCGACTTACAGTTGGTGAACTTTTTTTCATTCAGCGATCGTTGATGACTGAATTCCTGTTGATCGAATCTACTTGCATATCCGAACATGTGCCTTGTTATTCGAACGAGAAATTATAGCAAGAAGGATCAGTAGATTTTTATCGTGTGAACTTGAGTTTACGTGAAATTTGCATAAAGAGAGTTTGTAAATAATTATGTAGTTGCGAGAAATTTGAAATCAAAATGTCTCCTGCTTTCTCGTCTTTTTTTGATAGAAATTAAATTTATTCAGCAGATTCTGTTTGATGAGAAAATTTTGCATCAGTAAAATTCTGGCTATTCAAACTGTCACTTATTTTCATTACCAGAATATAAAATTCTGCAGTGTACTATTACTGGAATTGCATTGCAACGTTAAAAGATTAAATAATTAAGATTTAGGATGAAGCTCCACTACTAATTTTATGACAGTCGATGAAACGCTTCACTTACTTTTTAATAAATCCAACAATTCTCCATTTACTATTTTTAATGACAATTTTATTGAGATATACCTCCGCAGTATAATATACGTACACAATCGATCCAAAATGTTTAATACGATAATAAGATAAAGCTTTTATAATAACTTTTTTTTAGCGAACGAAGTAAATCTCCCGTACCTTTATAAACAAATCTATCCAAATCCAACTACGAATCCACAGTCGAAAAAATAAATCTTCGAACTAGCAATTTTTTCTTTCAAAGTATAAATAATTTTCACGAGATGTCGCTCACGTTAGGTAACAAGGTCGTTTCCCAAATCTTCCACGTGGGCAGATCGGATTTCCGGCCAGCTGGGCGGATTTCGCGTGAAAATTATGCTGATCTCGTTCTAATATTATGACGACAGCTTCGAATTCGGCCGGGCCAGCGAAGCTTGTCGTTCCTGCAGATATCGATCCACGTTCCACGGCTTGTCAAGCTAAGCTCGCGAGTTTGAGATTTCTACGTGGACGTGCGAATTTATCGGCTGCCCGGAATATATATACGCGATCCTGACATTTATCCCATCGAGTGATGATCTTGCTTCCAGCCGTCGCGTTCGAATAATCGTAAAAATTATTTCCGCGAGTATCATCACGGACTTTAAATAATTGAAAGTCGAACTGGGAAACGAACAGACATTCTTTCGACACTGTGTCTTTTCTCTCGGTGATACTTTATCTTTGTCTCTGATAAGAAATCTAGTAACAGTTTCTCTAATTTTATTCAATGTATTCACTATCGTAGTTGACTCGATAAGATTAAGCAGATCTCCTCTTATATCTTTATCATTCTTCCAAGCGTTAATCGTTAACTGGTGAATGAGTTCTTTCATACTCCAAATGTCGTTTCGAAGAATCCGTTTAGAATATGAATTCCTTGTCTAGGAATTTTGTAAATTCATTAACGTTAGAACTACCGACTACTATTAAATTATAATATTTGTAGCAAAGAAATTAAATTACGAAATTAAGGTACGAGAAAACGTTAATGATACGGTAAAGAACACAAGCTTCTATTAATGTGTTTTGTTAAAAATTACTCGTGTCTAAAGATGTACTGTTATAAATATACAAAATTTCCATGGAAAATTATAAATTGATACAATTTGATCACTTTGGCAGTTTTAGTGTTGAGAAACACTTGAGTTTAATTTTAGGCCTACGTATAGATAATTATAAATCTATTTTAACAACCAACCAATGAATTAAATTGAGAAGAAACGCGTCTATTTGGAAGAAGTTGAAACATTTGATGATTCTGTATCTCGTTGATAGGGAATCTGGAGCAGCGAGACGTTTCTCTAATTTTATTCACCGTATTTTTTTGATTTTCTATTCGCCACTGGAGCTGAATCTATAGGATTAAGCGGAAATTGTCGTTTATCGTTCGTTTAAGCGGTGATCTCATTAACGGTCTCTGACTGGCTAATGAGCTCTTTTATTCTCGACGTTGTTTCAGAGAATTCGTTTAAGATAATATTCATCTAGAATAATGAATAAGAAACGCTTAAGTTAATGAAACGCTTGAAATATTCGAGCAATTGGAGCAATACCTTGTATGGTGGTACAGTACCGGCCAAAAGTTTGAATAAATTTTCATTGCATTTATATTTCATACTTTTTTTAACGTCGTGCCATATTTATTGTTTATTTTGAACGTGGGACAAATTTGTATAGTGTATTTAAGTATTTACTTATTTCCAATGGGTTTAACGGTACGCAAGTTTTGATTTTGTTAAAACAAGAAATAGTGTTTGTCGAATAAACAAAATTAGTGTTTACGATAGTTTATCATTTTTAGTGTGTCTTACCACAATTTTACAATCTCACAATTTCTGTATATTTTTTTGT